ATTATTTAAGTAAAATTTAAGTAACATTTTTTTTTTTTTGAAAAAAGCAAAGGCATCGTTGAGCCGACCTGTGTTTATAAACTTTAAACTGAAAAACACGTAGTTAGTTGATGTGATTCGGCATCACAAGATGGATCAGTTTTTTCAATTTCGGGAAATTCAAAACGAGAATGATGAGAAATGAAAGACGAGAATGATTCTCTTTTTTTAAAATGAAAACGATAATGATTTTCACACCTCAAAAGAGTAAATTATTTGCTGGTTCGATATCCAACTATATTTATTTTGCCTAAAATAGGTACTTTGACATTTATTGTTAATATAATTATAAATTTAAGTGAGTGGTCATCATTATGCAAAAAAAGAGAAAAATGAAACGCGAATTGGACTTGGTATGTTCCGACACGTTTCCGGCTAGAGAACTAACTAAATCCTTTGTTCAAAGATTTCATCTTGTTCTTGTTCCCACTGGTTTTTAAACGTTTTAATTTCGTTTGCACGTCATTAAGCATGTTATAATTTTTTTTATAAACGTCAAGCCTATTTAGTTTTAAATACAGAAAAATATGATTTCGGTTATCTGATTCAAGTTTGATTATGATTACATGTTTGATGGAAATAATTTCCAAAGTTTATTTCATTTATATTTCCAAATTTCGTATGTGATTTAGAAAATGATAACAATATGGTTTATGTTTAACTAGTGAATGATAATATCTATTATAATGTAAATCTATATGTGTTCGAATCCGCAGACAAACTCGCCTAGTACATATATTGTTAGTTGAAAAGAAAATAAAAAGTAAAACGCTTAAGGATTTTTAGAACCTCTGTTACATTCACAATATTCCAATATCTGTTAGCCTTTCAGTTGCATTTGAAACATGTAATTTAGTTTTACAAAACAGACTATATTAGTTGTTGGAAATAAAACAAGAATAGACTATTAGTTGAGCGAGAAACCAGAACACAGCCGACACAGTTCACAACATGTATAGATTATTTATGGAGCAACGTGGACCAACATTACATTAACACGGTCCAAAGAGCCTCAAATGTAACAATGACAATTTCACATATTCCATTATTTTTATTTTGTTGCCAATATATTTTCATTATATCCCTTTTACTTGGAGATTTTCTGTCGGTGTGGCATCTCATTACTGGTTCTCTCTTTATTTTACAGATATAAATAATTTAGCTAAACTAATAGTAATTTGACAGTGGTAATAATGAGTAAGATAACTTACAAAACACATAATCCAAATCGCTTTTAGAAGAGGCATAAACCGTTGTGGTGAGCTTATTTTGAGTGATCAGGGACGGTGGATAGAAACGCGTG